TATCCGATGTCGATGTGACTGCGGCTAAAAGAAAGCAGCAAGGAGGCGGCAGTGTGATAATATCAGCTGGAGTTGTTGAAATGATCATTATTGGACCATTCAAAGTCGATGAAGGAGATAAACTGAACGGTGCTAACTCTTGAGGTTTCAACATTTTCTTTCATTGATACAAGTTCCGGTCGCGCAGTTTCAAAGTAAAGTGTGTATTTATGCACGACAATGTTCCTCCTGATTCATCTAAGGTTACCAGTGAATTCTTTGACCGTAAAAAGTTTATAGGAGAGAAGATAATGTAATGGCCACCATCAAATCCCGACCTGAATCCGATCGAAAATCTACGGCCAAATGTGAAAGTGAAAGTATATAAAGATGGTAAACAATATGACATTAAAGCTGACCTATTGGAAGCAATTAAAAACACTATGTCGGAAACTGAATCTGTGAAATAAACAATTTAACAAAATCAATGGATAATAGATTGCTGACTGATATTGAGAAAAAAAAGGGTCACTACATTAAATGCTTTGAAGATTTATATGTTTGTTATTTGTTCTGTTATAAGTGTTGATCGATTCTTCATTATTCCTTTACCTTGTTATTGAAGTAAAAAGTTATTTTCTGTTTTTGCATAATAACTTCAGACTACAGTTTTTATAAGAAATATAACTTTAATAAAACACTATTAAACTACTTAGAAATTTAAGTCAAGCTTTGATTTGACGTTTAAATTAATCGTTTAAAATTGAACAAAAAATACTCAAGGCAAATTCGAGTTGTTGAGGTTTATGTGATTTGCATTAAAACTTCAGACAGATTGTAATAAATAATAAGTTGTCAAAAGTGATTTCTGCATACCTAGGAAACGAAAGTCTTTGACAGATCGCTATTTATGAAGTATTCTACACCATTTTTGCCCTATTAGATTCCCTAAATTCCAATCTGTTCAAAGATCTGAGCACTGGTCAAAAATGGCTGTTTTCGCTATAAATCGCTTTAGTTTACATTCCCCTTCTTAAAAGCTTTTCTTTTGAACCTAGTTCTAGATAGATAGGAACATATCGAGAGAGACAGGAAAAGATAGAGATCGATCGATCGATCGATAGAAAGGAACAGAACAACATAGATAGATAAATAGATAGATAGATATGAACGGAACAACATCTCTCTCTCTCTCTCTCTCTCTCTATATATATATATATATATATATATATATATATATATATAGGAACAGATCGAGATAGGTGTTTATTACTTGTTCTATTATAAGTGTGGATCAATTCTTGATTATTTTTTTACATTCTTATTGAAGTAAAAAAGTGATTTGCTGGTTTTACATAATGTCTTCCGATTACAGTTTTTATAAAAAAATCTAATAAAACACAAACTACTTAGAAATTTAATTTAAGCTTTGTTTTGACGTTTAAATTAATCGTTTAAAATTTAACAAAATATTTTCAGAGCAAATTCGAGTTGTTGAGATTTATATGATTTGACTAATAATTTCAGACGGACTACAATAAATAATAAATGGTCTAAAGTGGTTTTTACATACTTAGGAAACGAAATTTTTTGACAGATCGCTATTTATGAAGTATTCTACACCTTTTTTTGGCCTTTTAGATTCCCTAAATTCTAATCTGTTCAAAGATCTGAGCACTGGTCAAAAATGGCTGTTTTCGCTATAACTCGCTTTGGTATACATTCCCCTCGATGATACAAGTTCTTAAAAGCTTTTCTTTTGATTCTAGTTCTCAACTTAGTTATATTTTCAACAGCCCTCTTTATCTTTCGATGTCCTCTGTGAAGCTCTTTTTATATCACCAATGTGGACATTCCATCACTCAATAACTTAATTCTCTGTTTTTCAACATTTTTTAGATCCTTTTCATTACCTATATTTGAATATATATTATGGAAAGAAAGAAAAAATAAAAAAATAGTTTTTATTAGTTTAGATTATTGTTTGATCAGCAATTTTAACCCATATCATCACACTACCACCTCCATGCTGACTTCTTTTATTATTGAAGTAAAAAATTATTTTCTGGTTTTGCATAATAACTTCAGACTACAGTTTTTATAAAAAAAAATATAATAACTTTAATAAAACACAGTTAAACTACTTAAGACAAGCTTTGATTTGACGTTTAAATTAATCATTTAAAATTGAACAAAAATATTCAAATCAAATTTGAGTTGTTGAGGTTTATGTGATTTGCATAATAACTTCAGACGGACTGTAATAAATAATAGAGTCAAAAGTGGTTTTTACATACTTAGGAAACGAAGTATTCGACACCTTTTTTTTGCCATTCTAGATTCCCTAAATTAGCTTCAGTTTACATTCCTCTCGATGATACAAGTTCTTAAAGCCTTTCCCATTGCATCTAGTTCTCAACTTATATTTTCAACAGCCCTCTTTATTGTTCGATGATCTCTGAAAAGCTCCTTTGATATCTCCAATGTGAACATTCCATCATTCAATGACTCAATTTTCTGTTTTTCAACATTTTTTAGAACGTTCAAATTTCAAAGCTTGAAAATTACAAATTTTGAATTCCATAGTTTGAAATCTACTTTGAAATCTATGATGTTGAAATTATATGAACACGGAAAATAATGTGACAAAAAAACAGGCAATTAAAACAAACATGTCGGGAATTGAACCTGCAGAAGTTAAACAAAAAGCATTAATGGATAATAGATTACTGGCTGTTATTGTTAAGAATGGTCATGATATTAAGGTGTAAATGCTTCAAACACTTATCTTATATGTTTATTACTTGTTCAGTTATACGTGTTGATTAATTGTTGATGATTTTATTAGCTTGGTACTGAGGTAAAAAGTGAGTTTGTTATAACAAATCCAATGAATTTAATAAACAAGTTTGAAACTATCTACAAATTTAACCCAAGCTTTATTTTGACGTCTAAATTAATTGCTTAAAATTTGACAAGACATTTTCAAAGCAAATTTGAGTTGTTGTGGTTTATGTGATTTACATAATAACTTCAGATGGACTGTAAATAGATGAAAAGATCGGGTTAGATATGAAATGATTAGAACAGAATAGATAGATAGGAACAGATCGAGATACATAGATAGGAACAGATCGAGATAGATAGATAGATAGATAGATAGATAGATAGATAGATAGATAGATAGATAGATATGCATACACACACACACACACACACACACACATATATATATATATATATATATATATATATATATAGATAGATAGATAGGAACTGATCGAGGTAGAGAGATATGAACAGAACAACATAGATAGATAGATAGATAGGAACTGATCGAGATAGAGAGATATGAACAGAACAACACAGATAGATAGATAGATAGATAGATAGATAGATAGATAGGAATAGAACAGCATAGATGGATAGATATGAACGGGGCAACATAGATAAGAACAGATCGAGATAGACAGGAAAAGATTGAGATAGATAGATTTATATATGTTTTTTATTTGTTCTGTTATAAGTGTTGATCAATTCTTTATTATTCCTTTACCTTGTTATTGAAGTAAAAAATGATTTGCTGGTGTTTCATAATCTCTTCCGACTACAGTTTTTATGAAAAATCTAATAACTTTAATAAAACACAATTAAACTGCCTAGAAATTAAACTTAAGCTTTGTTTCAACGTCTAAATTAATCGTTTAAAATTTGACAAAAATATTCAAAGCAAATTCGAGTTATTGAGCTTTATGTGATTTGCATAATAACTTCAGACGCACTATAATTAATAATAATTACTGGTTAAAAGTGGCTTTTACAAACCTAGAAAGCGAGATAAATTCTACTGATAATATATGTGGAAATACGCACAGCTAACAAGAACGATTTTAGAAAAATAGAAACAAAATGGCCATTTTAGGTTTTGAAAGAACACCTTTTTTTCTTCGTTATCACACTTGACTATGTAGCGAGAACTTCCCTCGACAAACATCATCAACATCTAAGTTTTACTTTATCACCAAGACTCTCAAGTCGATATCCTACAAAAATGTTGACTGATATTGACCTAGCTATCACTGCAGACACCATTGCCAATGCCACAGTTCTACATCATCTAGAAAATGCTGCTAATGATGTTGGACTCTATGTCAATGCCTCTAAAACTGAATTCATAGATTTCAACCGGCGAACGCTCAATATAAACTATCCCATGTGAATTAATAAAATCTGTCGAATCTTTTACATACCGAGGAAACGATATAAATTCTACTGAAAAGGGTGTGAAAATTCGCATAGCTAAAGTCTGGGCTGTTTTGAATAAAATGAATGTAATCTGGAAATCTGATTTAGCAGACAACCTCAAGCGGAGATGCTTTCGAGCGACTGTAGAGTCGGTGTTAATGTCTGGTGCCAATGTTTGGATATTAACTAAGACCCTACAGTCCAAGCTTGATGGAACCCACACTCGGATGCTGAGAGCTATATTTAACATCTCTTTTAGACAACATCCAACTAAATCACAGTTCTATGGACCCCATTTCTGATATTTCTACAATCTTTCGCGAACGCAGAATACGCTTTACAGGACACTACTGGTGAACAAAACAAGAATCTGCGAGTGATTTACTGCTTGTGGACACCTAGCCATGGAGCAAGACCTGTCGGTCGCCGAGCAACCACCTGTGGTTGTTTCGCTATAACTCCCTTTAGTTTACGTTGCACTTGAGGAAACACGTTCTTAAAGCCTTTCCCTTTGTTTCTTGTTTTCAACTTTGTTATGTATTTTTTTTTTCACCAGTCTTTATCGTTTGATGATCTCTGCTGTCTTTTCTAGTGATTTTATTCTAACCTCTACGCTGAACCCTTGACCTTCCCATGAACTCGTGAAACTTTGCAGGCGTTTATCATTTGATCTAAATTATATAAATTATGATGATTTCTTGGCGCCCATATGATCGCAGATTTTATAAGAATATTTTTGGCGTAAGGAATGAGCTGGCGTTTGTATTCGGTTAAAAATGCTTCCTGTGTTCCAACTCCCAGCTGTCGACTGGGATTCCTGGGAAGCAGAAAATATCTTGTTCTCTTGTATTTATTCAAGAAAGCCATAACAGCCACACAAAAGACGCTGCCGTTTCGGTCATGAGAAAAACGCAGCGTTTCGTTTTAAAGAGTTGATCACGTGAATAAAAGTGAATTACTTTATCTGTCAATCTATTTCTGTTATTTTATTTCTTTGTTCAAATCATCCACCCGTCTGCCAATGCTTTTCACTTTCTGAACACGTATTCGTATCTTACCTTTCTTTTTTTCGCATCTTTTTTTTTTGTTTGTATCATTCCTTCTTTTTCATATCTATTTTTGTTCGTATCTTTCCTTCTTGCATCTTTTTTGTTCGTACCTTTCCTTCATGCATCTTTTTTGTTCGTATCTTTCATTCGTTATTCGCATCTTTTTCGATGGTATCTTTCCGTCTTTTTAACATCTTTTTTGTTCGAATCTTTCATTCGTTATTCGCATCTTTTTTGTTGGTATCTTTCTTTTTACACATCTTTTTTGTTGGTATCTTTCATTCGTTATTCGCATCGTTTTTGTTCGTATCTTTCCGATTTTTCACATCGTTTTTTGTTTGCATCTTTCCGTATTTTTTTACATCTTTTTCTTCGTATCTTTCCGTCTTTTTCACACCTTTTTTGTTCGTATCTTCCATTCGTTATTCGCATCTTTTTGTTGATATCTTTCTTTTTCCACATCTTTTTTGTTCGTAATTTTCATTCGTTAATCGCATCGTTTTTGTTCGTATCTTTCCGACTTTTTCACATCTTTTTTCTTTGCATCTTTTTTGTTCGTATCTTTTAATAATTTGTTATTCGCATCTTTTTTGTTCGTACCTTTTCTTCTTTTGGAGCATCCTTTTTTTCTTCGTATCCTTCTGTCTTTTTCACATCTTTTTGTTGTATCTTTCCGTCTTTTTCATATCTTTTTTGTTTGTATATTTTCTTTCTTTTCTGACATAATTTTTGTCCATATCTTTCCTTATTTTTCGCATTTTCGCGTTTGCATTTTCCCTTTTATCTTCAAATCGCTTTTGATCATATATCTTTTCTTCCGTTGAATGTTTTTGTTTGGTTATCTCCCTTGCAATTTATGCTCTTTCAGCCATTTTCTCTTTCTTCAAAGATTTTTTGTTCGTGTCTATTCTTTCTGTTTCGCATTTTCTTTTTCGTTCCAGTCTTCAGTCGTTCGTATCTTTTCTATTTACGCTTCATATTTTCTTCATATATTTTTTCTTTCTAATCTATAAAGATCCATATCTTTTTAATATCTTTTCTTTCTTTGCCTTAATTTTTGGTTGCATTTTTTCATTTTTAATATCTGTTTAATATCTTTTTTCTTTGACTCAATTTTTGGTTGCGTTTTTTTTCATTTGATTCACATCTTTACTTTCATTGCCTTAATTTTTAGCTGCATGTTTTTCTTTCCCTCAGTTTTTGGTTAATTTTTTTCACTTGATTAACATCTTTTTAATATTTTTCTTTCTTTGAATCAATTTTTGGCCGAATTTTTTCTTCTTTCATTACACCTTTTTAAATCTTTCTTTTTTTCCTTCGCATCTTGTTTGTTCTTATTTTTCATTCTTCATTTTCATCTTTTTTCTTTGTATTTTCCTCCCTGATTTACATCTTTTTTTGTTAATTGTTATCTTTTTTTATTTCCATAATTTTGGGCTCCTACTCCACTTTTTTTTTGGCTTGTTTTTTTTTCTCCCCTTCTTTTTTCGCATTTTTCTTTGTATCTTCGCCTTTTCTTTCGGTCGTAAATTTCTTTCTTTGTCTGTAATTTTTCATTGAATTTTTCCTTCTTTCTTTAATTCCATTTAATTCATTTGTAATGTTTTTTAGTTTCTGCTTTTTATTTTATTTGGACTCTTCTTTTTTTTACTTATCATCTCGCTTCATATTTCCCTTCATTTTTGACATCGTTTTCTTTAGTCTTTACTTTTTCCTTTAAGTCTTTTTATTTGTTCTTCATTCTTTCTTAGCATCTTATTTGGTTCGTATCAATTTTCGTCGACTCTTTACGTTTTCTTTTATTTTTCTTCATATCCATCATTCATTTTCGCCTTATTTTCCTTCTTTTTTCGTGTCTTTTCCTGTATATCTTTCCTTCTTTCTTTTTTTTGCATATCTTTTTCTTTCTATGTTTCCTTCTTTCTTCACTCTATCAAAATTGTTTTCAAAAATTCTTTCTTTTTTTTCTTCTTTTTCTTTTTCCTTCTGTCATTTGTTGTTGTTCTTCGCTTTCCTTTTGCCACCGCGGCGACCATTTCTTTGCATATTTATTCGCACTGTTCGTTCCTATCTATCTATCTATCTATCTATCTATCTATCTATCTATCTATCTATCTATCTATCTCAGTCTGCTTTTATCTATCTATCTCAGTCTGCTTTTATCTATCTATCCATCTCAGTCTGTTCATATCTACCTACCTACCTACCTACCTACCTACCTACCTATCTATCTATCTATCTATCTATCTATCTATCTATATATATATATATATATATATATTTCAGTCTGTTCATGTTGTAGAAGACCGTGTGTGTTTGCGTGTTGTTGTATTAGAAACACGTGTTTAACTCTTAGTAGAATATTAAAAGATCCAACTACAAGAAAATGTCCGGACTTGAATTAAGTCCAACTGAAGATAAAGAAGACAAACAAACAAGACCTATATATATATAAACAAATTTATGTATTAAACAAAACAATTTTACAATGGACAATAACATTTGTGTGTGTCTAAACATTGGTGTCTGTTCTTTGGTGAATGTTCGTACGTACGTGTATGTGCGTATAATGTTCATGGCGTCTCCCACAAACGGGAAGACGCGCATCTTCTAAGAGAACTTAGATTGCAGTCACTGAAATGAAGAAATGAAAAAGAGAACGAGAAGTCACCCAATATTTATAGTATAGGGAGAATGACCCCTAGTGACAATTTGGGAATTAAGGTGGAGCTAAGTTCGACAATATGTATTTCATTCTGGCAACATCTATCTATCTATCTATCTATCTATCTATCTATCTATCTATCTATCTATCTATCTATCTATCTATCTCAGTCTTTTCATATCTATCTATCTATCTATCTATCTATCTATCTATCTATCTATCTATCTATCTATCTATCTATCTCAGTCTTTTCATATCTATCTATCTATCTATCTATCTATCTATCTATCTATCTATCTATCTTAGTCTGTTCTTACCTATCTTAGTCTGTTCATATCTCTCTTTCTCTCTCCCCATATATTCATGTCCCAAAATAATGTATACACTCTTTAAATATTAATAGTTAATAATACATTACCGTGATATGAGAACTTATATGGATGAAACTATGCAAAACAGATTGATTGGAAGAAGTGGGGCAGTTGAATACCCCCCTAGATCACCAGATTTGACACCCTTGAATTTATTTTTGTGGGTTTTCTAAAAGACAAAGTTCACAGCAGGAAACATGTAACAATTACTGAAATGAGAGTAGCAATTGAAGAAGAATGTACTCAAATACCAGAGGAAATAATACTGGACGTTTGTAGGTCTATTTCTTCAAGATATGAAAAGTGTATTGAACAGAACGGCAACCATTTTGATCGCTTGATGTGAACTCATCATTATATGAACATTCTGCCATTGCCCAAAGTAGCTTTTATCTTATTAAAGTTAATTTTCTATGTTTTTTGTATATTTTACTCTCAAATTCTTTAAATGTGTATTCTTTCTCTTGTACTAATCTTATTTACAAGTCAAAATATATTAATTGAATAGGTTATAACGATTCAAAGAGTGTATACATTATTTTGGGACACCCTGTGTATATATATATATATATATATATATATATATATATATATATATATGAAGAAAAATATACAAAAAAACAAACAAAAATCTTAATTATGCTGTATTAATGTTAATATAAAGTCAACGTCGGACGTTTCGGTCTATTTTAGACCGTCTTCAGGACATTTTCATTAAACATAATTAACATTAGAACATATAAAATTCAACATGAAAAGACGATGGACATAAGAGCACAATTAATCCAAACAGATAACTGAAATATTTATATAAGATCAGCGTTCCGTTTAAATATTATCACGTCGTCGTCACGTGGGCGATGTTGTGAAAACGTATTCGAAGATGATTTCCAAATATTAAAATATGAAAAAGTCGATTGAACTATTTTATATATATATATATATATATATATATATATATATATATCAGTCAGTTCATATCTATCTATCTATCTATCTATCTATCTATCTATCTATCTATCTCAGTCTGATCATATCTATCTATCTATCTATCTATCTATCTATCTATCTATCTGTCTCAGTCTATTTACTTTTATATTTTTTTAATCTTCATATATATTCTTTTTTCTTTTCTCTCCTCAATTCATATCCAAGGCTAATCATTTCTTTCTATCTTTCACAATTTATCTCGGAGTCCATTCACTTCTTTCTTTCTTTCTTTCTTTCTTTCTTTCTTTCTAAGTCCATTCATTTTTGTTTTCTTCATACCTATCTCTCTATAATCGGTCTGACGTTATTACGTAAAGTAATGTTTTCACAGTAATTTTCCTCTTAACCAGCGCCATATTGCTGAACATTTTCTGGCCGTACATATATATAGCGTTAGTTTCATCTTATTAATAAAAATATTGTTAATATCTTCTTTTGGGTGTGCCAGTTTGTTGGTATCAGGACAAACTAAGCGTAACATAATTGTTTATTCATGAATAAATTCAAAAGATGTTGACCACAGAAACATATTTGATTCACACAAAATCCCACATAACTGAACCCTTTAATTAGTCCACGTGAGTAGATTGTTCCAATTCCACGTGCCATGCCTTATTTTTTTTTATTTTGACATCTCAATTTCAGTTATTTTACTTTAGTAATTCAACTTTCCAAGTTTTTGTTCCTCCCTGCTGTGGGCAGGTATTGAACTCACATCTCTTTTGGTCATGTCACTTTTTGGATCACCCAACCAACGCTTTTATCCACTGGGCCATGTGAATATGGCAATAAAGATGAGGACAGCAATCTGAACAATGTAAATAGTTACAATGCCACATCTCAAAAATATAGGTATTCTGAAGAAGGTCGGAGCGTACAACGGCCGAAAGGTCGGGAACATAGAAATAAAGATGAGGACAACAGTCCGAACAATGTAAAATAGTGTAAATAGTTAAAATACCTCATCTCAGAAATATAGACAGATCCTGAATGTTGGAGCGTGCAACGGCTGAAACGTCGTGAATATGGCAATAAAGATGAGACTAACAGTCCGAACAATGTAAATGGTGTAATTAATTACAGTACCTCATCTCGGAAATATAGACAAATCCTGAAGAAGGCCGGATCGTGCAACAGCTGAAACGTCGTGTATATGGCGATAAAGATGAGACCAACAGTCCGAACAATGTAAATGGTGTAATTAATTAGAATACCTCATCTCGAAAATATAGACAGATATCTTGACCGCTTATTATGACTCAAGTTTATTAGGACTCAAGCTTACCTCAGACGTCAAGTGGAACTCCTCTATACAATCCATTGCTAAAGATGCTGGAAAAAAAGATCTTCTCCTTGTACCAAAGCGGTGAATACCTCACTCCTCTTGCTTTGCTCTGTCTTTAGAAGCGCCAGATTAGACTCTAAAAGAATTATTGTTACCCAATCTGGACCGGCGCTGCACAGTTTTAACTTTTCAGTCTTGACAGAGTTAAAAAGCTCCGACATAATCTTGCGAATGATGAAGTATTTTCCACCCTACAACCACTTTCCCAATGGCGAAGCATTCTAAATCTCTATCACTATTTACTTAGCAAATATGAATCATCTGAGAGACCCCATTCTGCCTTCCATCACTATGGCTGATGCTAACCTTCTCGGACTAACATTCTCGGCTGACATAAAGTGGAAAGATTATATTGAATCCATTGCTAGGTCTGCTGCTTGGAAAGTTGGTTCACTGTGTCGTGCTAGACAATTTTTCTTGCCAGAGTCTATTTTACATATTTATAAGTCTACCATTCGTACATGTTTAAATAATGCTGACACATATGGTCTTGATAAAATTCAAAGAAGAATCAGCGTTAATATTGGTCCTTCAGGTATTCTCAAGCGGTAACCTATCTAGGTACTGACCAAACTCGACGTTGCTTAACTGCGATAATCATGCGAAAACAAATGTTTCAACGTGATATGGTCGTAAGCCCATTACACCACACGCACATCCAAGCTTACAGTAACTGGTATCCCCACGCGTTCACCCATCTAGTTACTGACCAGGCTCGACGTTGCTTAACTTCAGTGATCGTACCAGTTCCGGTGTTTCAACGTGTTATGGCCGTAAGCCCATTACACCATACGCAGAACCAAACTTACAGCAACTGGTATTCCCAAGCGGTCACCCATCTAGTTACTGACCAAGCTCGATGTTGCTTAACTTCGGTGATCGTACGAGAATCGGTGTTTCAACGAGATATGGCCGTAAACCAATTACACCACACGCACATCCAAGCTTACAACGCCTGGTATTCCCAAGCGGTCACCCATTTGGGTATTGACCAGGCTCGACGTTGCTTAAATTCGGTGATCATACGAGAACCGGTGTTTCAACGTGATATGGCCGTAAGTTGATATTAGTAAGCCTACCCCAGTCTAGCACTGGCCCACAACATTGGAGGATAATATTGAGTCGACCAGCGAAAAGGTTTGTGAAATAAGCTTCCTATCACGCAGCAGTCGGCTTTTTAGGTTATTTAATGATCTTAGCCTAATCTGATACAAGGACATAGCAATGGGTCACCCAGTGAGAGTCAGGCTCTCTGGTATAAACAATTCTTGCGAAACGAGCTTGTCAACCATAGCACTACAGTAGGTTCTTGCACTTGAAGACTGTACGCTCTTCTTCAAGATGAATAGCTGGAAATAAGAGCGATAGCGATCGAGGGAGCGGCACACCAAGTTTTAAAAATAAGTTTCTCACTTTGATGTTTTTTTTTTTTTTCTTTCTTTCTCTCCGTTCATAGGTTAACTTGACATTAGTTGGTCGAGTTTGTTAATTACGGGAATAACTCATGAGTATTTTCGCTTCATCGAGAAACGTAGCTTTGGTCTTCACACGAAAACTTAATATAAAGAAGTCAGTAATTCATTAATATTTCATTGAAGGAGATTATTTTGAGGAATCACGTGACTATTAATAAGATCCAGGGTATCAAAAGTTGATCTCTTATGCGACATTGAAAAAAATACCCCTTTACAATTCCTTACTTTGGACGGGATTCTGAAATAAAGTCGAGGAAAATAATCCCCACCGTTAAAGATATTTGGGATAAGTAAAAGGTTCTCGAAGTGAAATGGGTCAAAATTATACCAATCTTCTCACTGGGAAAGTATGTCCAACTTGAAAATTTCTTTCTTTTTTTGTCCCTTCTTTCTTTCTTTCTTTCTTTCTTTCTTTCTTTCTTTCTTTCTTTCCCTTTTTTCTTACTTCTTTTTATCTCTGTCTTTCTTTTTCTCTCTCCCATCTTTCTTTCTTTTTTCTTTCTTGAAAATCAACATTTAATTTTTTCTTTCTTTTTTGTTCTCCTTTTCTCTTTCTTTCTTTCTTTCTTTCTTTCTTTCTTTTTTCTTTCTTTTTTCTTTTCTCATTTATCTTTCTTTTACTTTCTTTCCTTCATATTTTCATTTCATTCTTTCTTTCGTTTTCTTTTTTCTCTACCATTTTTCTTTTCTCTTTCTTTTTTGTCTCTTCTATCTTTCTATCATTTTTTGCCTGTTATTTTTTCTTTTTTCTTCCTCTTTCTTTCTTTCTTTCTTTCTTTCTTTTTTCTTTGTCTCTGCCTTTCTTTTTTGTCTCTTTTATCTTTATCTTTCTTTCTTTCTTTTTCGTCTCTGCCTTTCTTTTTTATATCTTCTATCTCTTTCTTTCTTTCTTTCTTTCTTTCTTTTAGATACATGTGTAACGCAATAGACATTTTCTGGAATCGTTGAGCCGGGTTCAAATACCTGCCAAGTTTTTTTTAGAGATCATTTTCACTCAAATACCATTGGGGAGAGCATGAATCCAAATTTCTACCTGTCTATGGGTTAAATAGCAAAATAGCTGGCCTTGGTTGGAAAGAAAATTAGCACATATAACTTGAAGAGAAAATAATAATGATATAATCAAAACGTTGACATTCCACACAACTTCAAATAAAAGGTTAGAAAGGAAACGCCATCAATATTAAAAATCGCAATAATAGTTACTGGACTGGAAAAACCTATTTTCCTGAAAGATTGTTTTAAGAGAAAGATTTTATAAATGTCAACTGTTATTGGCACTGTCTTTTCGGTCAGTGAATATCGAATGTTTCCTTATAAGGTAACGGCCACTGTTACCCTTGTCATTACCATATACCCATACGCGCACATTGAAATGCACGTGTCAGTCAGTCTCAATGCCAACACATCTGTGATTACAGCGATAACTGAACTCCCTAACTGTTATAGAGTGAACGAACATTTTTTTTCTGCATGAGTACGAATCCCTCGTCGCCAAAGTTGTTATAGAGTAGTTTCACAGTGGAGGCTTGTATTTCACTAAGTCGGCCCTAAAAAGGTTCGACGTACAAAACGTTAGGGACTTGATATAATTAGTAATGACGCAGCAATCTATTTGTGGTGACTGATACTTTAATGTTTCCGGCCCGCATGTGGTCGGCCTCCGCCGCTGGAACCGCGACTGGCTTACCATCTCGTGCGACCTCGCGACAGACCGACGGGCGTAGGCAGCAATGGTCCGTGATGGGGTGCGTCAACAGGAAGAAGCCGGCTCAATCCGCCCAGGGTGAATGCCGCATCAAGACAAGACAAAAAGAAGATACTTTAATGTCCGACATCGACTGACTGACCAACTCACTGAGCTCTCTCCCGACTGCTACTACTACTCCTACTTATTATAGGTGGGAGAGTCTATTAACAATAGAATAGGTGTGTTCCAGTATAACACTAACAATGGCTTGAAATATATGCTGCTATAGTTCCTGTGTATCTACCTATGTACATTTTTACTGTTTCATCGACAAGCAAAGCTAAGTCTACTAAAATTACTAGATTGGCGACAAGTTCTCATCAATTTACAGTTGAAATGACGAGATTTAACCGTAAGTTCTGTGCTAATAGTTTCTTCTCTCGCACTTCTCTCTTCCTGCTCCAATGCTTTCCAACCAACTTTGATCTTCAAAAATTTAAATACGATGTCGGTCGTTATTTGCCTTCTTCATTCCTCTTCTATTATTGTTTTCGCTTCTTAATAATGTTTCACTTCTTCTTCTTCTCTCTCAGTAACCCCGTGTGTCTTAGTCGCTTTACTGCCTTGCTTGGGGTGAAGTTGATTAAAAACAAAAACGCATAGAATATATTTACCAATTTTGAGAAGGATCTCATGATTAAATTTTTGAAATTTATATGTGTAAGAAGCAGGTTTCACATCGAATTGCGTAAAGATGTAACGAAAGTTAAACATCATGCGAACAAAAAAAAAAAACCGAAAATAAGTTAAATAAAAACCACTAATTGGCGAAAAAGTTTCAGAATTCTACAGGAGACATTAAGAAGAACATTCATTTTTGCAAGGAAGAATATTGTAGCAAAGCTAAAAGTAAATATTCTTCTCCCTGTTGCTTACAGCCATATAACGTTAAAACACCGGTTCCCGTACAACCAGTGAAGTTAAGCAACGTCGAGCCTTGTCTGTACCTAGATGGGTGACGACCGCTTGGGAATACTAATTACTGAATACTTAAATGTGGGGTGGTGTAATAGCCTTTACGGTCACATTACATTGAAACACCGGTTCCCCGTACAACCAGTGAAGTTAAGCAACGTCGAGCCTTGTCTGTACCTAGATGGGTGACGACCGCTTGGGAATACTAATTACTGAATACTTAAATGTGGGGGTGGTGTAATAGCCTTACGGTCACATTACATTGAAACACCGGTTCCCGTACAACCAGTGAAGTTAAGCAACGTCGAGCCTTGTCTGTACCTAGATGGGTGACGACCGCTTGGGAATACTAATTACTGAATACTTAAATGTGGGGTGGTGTAATAGCCTTTACGGTCACACGAAACACCGGTTCCCGTACAACCAGTGAAGTTAAGCAACGTCGAGCCTTGTCTGTACCTAGATGGGTGACGACCGCTTGGGAATACTAATTACTGAATACTTAAATGTGGGGTGGTGTAATAGCCTTACGGTCACATTACATTGAAACACCGGTTCCCGTACAACTGAAGTTAAGCAACGTCGAGCCTTGTCTGTACCTTAGATGGGTGACGACCGCTTGGGAAACAATTACTGAATACTTAAATGGGGGGTGGTTCCCTTACGGTCACATTACGTTGAAACACCGGTTCCCCGTACAACCAGTGAAGTTAAGCAACGTCGAGCCTTGTCTGTACCTAGATGGGTGACGACCGCTTGGGAATACTAATTACTGAATACTTAAATGTGGGGGTGGTGTAATAGCCTTACGGTCACATTACATTGAAACACCGGTTCCCGTACAACCAGTGAAGTTAAGCAACGTCGAGCCTTGTCTGTACCTAGATGGGTGACGACCGCTTGGGAATACTAATTACTGAATACTTAAATGTGGGGGTGGTGTAATAGCCTTACGGTCACATTACATTGAAACACCGGTTCCCGTACAACCAGTGAAGTTAAGCAACGTCGAGCCTTGTCTGTACCTAGATGGGTGACGACCGCTTGGGAATACTAATTACTGAATACTTAAATGTGGGGTGGTGTAATAGCCTTACGGTCACATTACATTGAAACACCGGTTCCCGTACAACCAGTGAAGTTAAGCAACGTCGAGCCTTGTCTGTACCTAGATGGGTGACGACCGCTTGGGAATACTAATTACTGAATACTTAAATGTGGGGGGTGGTGTAATAGCCTTACGGTCACATTTACATTGAAACACCGGTTCCCGTACAACCAGTGAAGTTAAGCAACGTCGAGCCTTGTCTGTACCTAGATGGGTGACGACCGCTTGGGAATACTAATTACTGAATACTTAAATGTGGGGGTGGTGTAATAGCCTTACGGTCACATTACATTGAAACACCGGTTCCCGTACAACCAGTGAAGTTAAGCAACGTCGAGCCTTGTCTGTACCTAGATGGGTGACGACCGCTTGGGAATACTAATTACTGAATACTTAAATGTGGGGTGGTGTAATAGCCTTACGGTCACATTACATTGAAACACCGGTTCCCCGTACAACCAGTGAAGTTAAGCAACGTCGAGCCTTGTCTGTACCTAGATGGGTGACGACCGCTTGGGAATACTAATTACTGAATACTTAAATGTGGGGGTGGTGTAATAGCCTTACGGTCACATTACATTGAAACACCGGTTCCCGTACAACCAGTGAAGTTAAGCAACGTCGAGCCTTGTCTGTACCTAGATGGGTGACGACCGCTTGGGAATACTAATTACTGAATACTTAAATGTGGGGGTGGTGTAATAGCCTTACGGTCACATTACATTGAAACACCGGTTCCCGTACAACCAGTGAAGTTAAGCAACGTCGAGCCTTGTCTGTACCTAGATGGGTGACGACCGCTTGGGAATACTAATTACTGAATACTTAAATGTGGGGGTGGTGTAATAGCCTTACGGTCACATTACATTGAAACACCGGTTCCCGTACAACCAGTGAAGTTAAGCAACGTCGAGCCTTGTCTGTACCTAGATGGGTGACGACCGCTTGGGAATACTAATTACTGAATACTTAAATGTGGGGGTCACATGGTGTAATAGCCTTACGGTCACATTACATTGAAACACCGGTTCCCGTACAACCAGTGAAGTTAAGCAACGTCGAGCCTTGTCTGTACCTAGATGGGTGACGACCGCTTGGGAATACTAATTACTGAATACTTAAATGTGGGGGTGGTGTAATAGCCTTACGGTCACATTACATTGAAACACCGGTTCCCGTACAACCAGTGAAGTTAAGCAACGTCGAGACTTGTCTGTACCTAGATGGGTGACGACCGCTTGGGAATACTAATTACTGAATACTTAAATGTGGGGTGGTGTAATAGCCTTACGGTCACATTACATTGAAACACCGGTTCCCGTACAACCAGTGAAGTTAAGCAACGTCGAGACTTGGCTGTACCTAATGGGTGACGACCGCTTGGGAATACTAATTACTGAATACTTAAATGTGGGGGTGGTGTAATAGCCTTACGGTCACATTACATTGAAACACCGGTTCCTACAACCAGTGAAGTTAAGCAACGTCGAGCCTTGTCTGTACCTAGATGGGTGACGACCGCTTGGGAATACTAATTACTGAATACTTAAATGTGGGGGTGGTGTAATAGCCTTACGGTCACATTACATTGAAACACCGGTTCCCGTACAACCAGTGAAGTTAAGCAACGTCGAGCCTTGTCTGTACCTAGATGGGTGACGACCGCTTGGGAATACTAATTACTGAATACTTAAATGTGGGGGTGGTGTAATAGCCTTATTGAAACACCGGTTCCCGTACAACCAGTGAAGGTCGAGACTTGGCTGTACCTAGATGGGTGACGACCGCTTGGGAATACTAATTACTGAATACTTAAATGTGGGGTGGTGTAACACCTTTACGGTCACATTACATTGAAACACCGGTTCCCGTACAACCAGTGAAGTTAAGCAACGTCGAGCCTTGTCTGTACCTAGATGGGTGACGACCGCTTGGGAATACTAATTACTGAATACTTAAATGTGGGGGTGGTGTAATAGCCTTACGGTCACATTACATTGAAACACCGGTTCCCGTACAACCAGTGAAGTTAAGCAACGTCGAGCCTTGTCTGTACCTAGATGGGTGACGACCGCTTGGGAATACTAATTACTGAATACTTAAATGTGGGGTGGTGTAATAGCCTTACGGTCACATTACATTGAAACACCGGTTCCCGTACAACCAGTGAAGTTAAGCAACGTCGAGCCTTGTCTGTACCTAGATGGGTGACGACCGCTTGGGAATACTAATTACTGAATACTTAAATGTGGGGGTGGTGTAATAGCCTTACGGTCACATTACATTGAAACACCGGTTCCCGTACAACCAGTGAAGTTAAGCAACGTCGAGACTTGGCTGTACCTAGATGGGTGACGACCGCTTGGGAATACTAATTACTGAATACTTAAATGTGGGGGTGGTGTAATAGCCTTACGGTCACATTACATTGAAACACCGGTTCCCGTACAACCAGTGAAGTTAAGCAACGTCGAGCCTTGTCTGTACCTAGATGGGTGACGACCGCTTGGGAATACTAATTACTGAATACTTAAATGTGGGGTGGTGTAATAGCCTTACGGTCACATTACATTGAAACACCGGTTCCCGTACAACCAGTGAAGTTAAGCAACGTCGAGACTTGGCTGTACCTAGATGGGTGACGACCGCTTGGGAATACTAATTACTGAATACTTAAATGTGGGGGTGGTGTAATAGCCTTACGGTCACATTACATTGAAACACCGGTTCCCGTACAACCAGTGAAGTTAAGCAACGTCGAGACTTGGCTGTACCTAGATGGGTGACGACCGCTTGGGAATACTAATTACTGAATACTTAAATGTGGGGGTGGTGTAATAGCCTTTACGGTCACATTACATTGAAACACCGGTTCCCGTACAACCAGTGAAGTTAAGCAACGTCGAGACTTGGCTGTACCTAGATGGGTGACCAATTGGGAATACCGGTTACTGTAAGCTTGAATGTGTGCATGGTGTAATGGGCTTACAGTTACATCACGTTGAAACACCGTTTCATTTACGATTACTGAAGTTAAGCATAATCGAGACTTGTCAGTGCCTAGATGGGTGACCGATTGGGAATACTAGTGTGATGCAAGTTTGCATGTGCGGGTGGTGTAATGGGCTTACAGTTACATCACGCTGACCACCAGTTCCCTTAAGATCACTGAAGTTAAGCAATGTCGAGCCTTGTCAGTGCCTAGATGGTTGACCGATTGAGAATACTAGTTGCTGCAAGTTTACATGTGCGGGTGGTGTAATGGTCTTACAGTTGCACCACGCTGACCACCGATTCCCTTAGGATCACTGAAGTTAAGCAACGTCGATCCTTGTCAGTGCCTAGATGTGTGACTGCTTGAGAATAACAGTTGCTGTAAGATTGGGTGTACGGGTGGTCTAATGGGGCTACATTCAAGGAAATTAAGCAACGTCGAGTCTGGTCAGTACCTAAATGGGTGAGCGCTTTGGAATAGCAGGTGCTCATAAGCTGGGATGTGTGGATGGTGTAATGAGTAATGGCTTGGAAAGCTGTTCCAATTCCAGTTAGGCTCGTTATATTCTCTTACGCGTAATACCCTTTGGAATGGTACGAATCCACTTCTTCTCTCCTCCGTCTATGGGTTAATTATTAAGACCTCTATCACTAAAACATCAGAATCAGGAAAAGACGACTGAAATTCCTTGGACATATAATGAAGAAGGAGGGCTTGGAAAACTTAACACTCACAGGGTATATGGAGAAAAAGAGAAATAGGGGACGAGCTTGTGTGAATCGATGGCGTAACGTGCGGAGGGAGACTTAGCAAAGGGAGAAAAACGCAAAGCGTCACATAGGAAATTGTGGAGAGCCATGATCGCTTGTGAAATGAAGGAGAACGACACATAGAAAATATTTTGTTCGTCATCGCCTTATGGCTCAATCTCCCTACATCAAATTTACAGACCTTATGTGAACTCAATCCTCTTGTATGGCAGCAAACTGAACAATTTCCCAACAAATGAAGAGAAAACCGCGGGCAACAAAGATGTTGTTCTACAGAAGGATACTGAGAATTCCAAGAACAGAGCGAGGTAAATGGTAGAGAAAATACAAAACTCAGAATCAGAAAGAGACAACTGAAATTTCAGAGACACATAATGAGAAAAATGGGCTTGGAGAAATTGAGACTCACAAGACATATCAAGCACAGAAGGTGGCAGGTAGCGGGCCATCTACGTGACGTGCTTGTATGAGTAGATGGCCAGAAGTTTGACAAAGAAACAAACGTTGCTAAGGGCCCCGAGTTATAGGATTTTGTGGAGAGCCACGACTTGAAGTGACACAGCATACAGAAGAATCAGATCATTACAAGGCCATGCATGTGAGACAAACGAGTATGGCGCTTACTTACAATAGCTTGCGAGACTATCCTGCCCACCACCGTACGCCAACAATCAGTTTTACTACCTTCAGATAAGAGCTGAATGCTCATTACAATGCCTTAAATGGATAGGCTTACTTCAGTGACGCCATATTTTTGTCGTCAGTCATGCGTAAGGCGAAATAGTCGCTTAGTGCGCATGTCAGTCACGTCATGTCTTATGATCCTCTCACCACAACTTTAGTTTCCTCCCCGGAATCTCAATTTTTGCTCTTCTCTTTGATGATTAGTTCACCCTCTTTGGCAACCTTTGAATTAGAGTGACCATTAAACTGACCCTTTCCTTTCCCTATTCTACTTTAAGTTGAATTTGTGGTAACGAATTGCAACTTTCACCTCAAAGTCGCCAGCTCGACGCGTTAGCCGTGGAATAGAAACCGCACATTCTGAAGATAATGTTTAATTGTTATTTCTTTTTTTCTTTTTTTCTTTCCCATTCGCCCACATTTTTCTCCTTTCTTTCTTTCTTTCTTTCTTTCTTTCTTTCTTTCTTTCTTTATTTCTTTCTTTCTTTCTTTCTTTCTTTCTCATTCGTCCTCTTTTCATTTGTCCGTTTATTTTTCTTTAAGTCTCTTTTATCTTTTTACTTTCTTTAATTTTTTCATTTTTCTTTCTTCATCATTTCCTCTTCTTTCTTTCTTTCTTTCTTTCTTTCTCATTCGTCCTCTTTTCATTTGTCCGTTTATTTTTCTTTAAGTCTCTTTTATCTTTTTACTGTCTTTAATTTTTTCATTTTTCTTTCTTCATCATTTCCTCTTCTTTCTTTCTTTCTTTCTTTCTTTCTTTCTTTCTTTCTTTCTTTCTTTCTTTCTTTCTTTCTTATTCGTCCTCTTTTCATTTGTCCGTTTATTTTTCTTTAAGTCTCTTCCTTTTATCTTTTTGCTGTCTTCAATTTCTTCATCCTTTTCTCTCCTTTCTTCACTCTTTCTTTCTTTCTTTTTTCTTTCTTTCTTTCTTTCTTTCTTTCTTTCTCATTCAATCGCTTTTCTTGTGTCCCTTTATTTTTTTCTAAGTCTTTCTTTTATCTTTCCTCTTTCTTCCATTTGTTTGTATGTCGTCAACATTCTGTTTTCTTTCTTTATCCTTTCCTCTGCGTTTTTTTGTCTTCTTTCTTTCTTTCTTTTTTTCTTTAGTATGTTTCCCCCTTTTCATTATTCCCTTCCTGTCTCATCTCTTTCGTTTTCCTCCTCTTTCTTTTTCTATTTTCTTTATTGTCATTCTTTCTTTCCTTCTTCTTCGTCCACTTTTCCTTTATCCGTTTCCTTTTCTCTCTAAATCTCTTTCTTTTTTTCTCGCTTTCTTTTCATTCTTTTCTTCTTCTTCTTTTCCTTTCTTACTTTCTTCGGTATATCCACCACCTTTTTTTTTTCATTATTTCCCTCTCATCTTTTTCCGCCTTCCCAACATCTTCTTGTAACTGGTTAAACGAGTTAAATAGTAAAATATTTTCATGATATATAAAAAGAAGAAAAAGATCGTCTCAGAACAGTCGATACGAAATTACGTCTTTCTCTGTTTTTTTCCCTTTGATCTCTTTCCTTCTTTCTTTCTTCGTCTGTTTCACACACACACACACACACACACACACACACACACACACACACACACACACACACACACCTACTTTCTCTTCTTTTATTACCGACTAGAGAAATGAGTGTGAGAGAGAGAGATAGACAGACAGAAAAAAATTAAACTGTCCGTGTGTTAGTCTTGTGGCAATCTTTGTTTTGTATAAGTTCGCATTCTATCTAAATTACAATTAAAATAAATCTATTTTTTTAGATTTTTTCCCCCTAAACAAAACAGTTCTTTTTCTTTTTTTCTATAATGAATTATTTTTTTGAAGTGACTGATTTTTTTTTCTAAAACAAGACTGTTCATTTAACTGTGGCTCATGTGATAAAAAAGGTAAAAAAAACAAAACAAACAAAAAACCCGAAACAAAAAAGGCGGGAAAAAAGCGTTGGTTGAAACCGCTTATACATACTTTTAATCCCTCTAAAAAAACAAAAACGAAAACAAAACAAAAAAAAAAAAAAAACAAAAAAAACCAACTCATTCGCTCGCAGCCTGTAATCAAACGTTTTTTTATATTTTTTTCTGTCTTTATTTACTTTCGTAGACATTTATTTGTCAGGCTATTTATTTTATTTTATTTCACTGAATAGTTGATTAGTGAGCTGACAAAAAACAAACAAAATACAAATAAGGAATAAACTCTTTAAAAACAAATTGAAATTGTAGTAGAGAGACCGGAGCAGGAGGAATTGAACGGGAAGCTATAATCATGTCCGTTACGACTCGTTCTCTAACTCTGGCTTCGCTGAAATGTGTGAAAACTGGTAAGATCACTTACGTAAGACTAGGAAAAAGGATTAAATTAGACATATTTATGTGCGTATTTTAAATATAGATTCTGGAAATATATACTTAAAAGAGTTTCATTTTCCATATTATATACGTATGGGAAAACGATATATAATTTTTTTATATAACAAGATCAATTTTAGGGGAAAATTTAGATTATATAACAAAATCATATATTAAAAAAAAAATCAAAAACCAAATTTAAAATTCTCAGCGTCCCTCATTTTCTTCATGCGCATGCGTAGTTGCACCAATGTAAACAAGTTTAGTACGACAAAGACCTAAAGGACGAAATACGTCACACGAAAATTTCTTACACTTTGTCATACTTCTTTCCCTTGATTATATATATATATATATATATATATATATATATATATATATATATATATTAGGGTTATGTCTTTTTTTTGAAATAATTGATTTCCCTGAATGTTTGTTAAAAATAATGAAGAATGGTTTAATTCAGTTCGTTCTTTTTTTAAATGTCACCCACCACCCCAACACGAAATTTCTAAAATTGTATATGGCTAGAGTAGTATTATGACCTTCTAGAACTGCCTGGAGCCTTCCAGAACTTGTTTTTGTTGTAATTTTGTATGTTATACTATAGCTTTAACCTGTTAAATGCTCTAAAAAATACTTAAGTATTATCCACTTGCATTATTAGCAAATTGGAATATAAAGCTTCTGTGAGTTTTTAATTTTTGTTTATTTGTAAGGTTGTATATTACACTATAGCTATAAAAAAAGTGAAATGCCTTAAAAATACATAAGTACTAACCTATTATTCATTAGCAAATTGAAAAATAAAGCCTCTGTGAGTGAAATATTTTGATTTTTTACCCCTATTGCGTATATGAAAAAATCGAATTTTCAGTTAGGGGATGAGATTTTTCAACAACTAAAACAAATTAATGACTTTTTCATTATTTCTGAACAAAAGGTTAACCAGTTTATGACACAGGAACATAAGGTTGCAAAAATGTCATAAGCTTAATATATATATATATATATATATATATATATATATATATATATATATATATATATATATAAATGTCAATAAATACTGTTTATTATAAAACAGAGTATTTACTTAAATATTTATATCTATAAAAAAGAATGTATAAACATAAAATGTCTTAAAATAATTGTCGGACTTTGTCCATTCCATAATGTGTGACGTCATATATATATATATATATATATATATATATATATATATATATATATATAGCGCTTAGCCATGGAGCGGGTAGAATGGAGATCAACGTGTTTTAGTGGACTCAGCTTGTCTGAATCGTCTTCAAGAAGCGATAGCAAGATCTAAAAGGTCAGCCAATCTAACAGCGATCTCATCCCGCAATCGTTACTCTTGCTCAATATGCGGCCTCCTTTGTAAATCACTAGCAGGTCTTAAGTGTCACAAGATTATCGCACAAAATTTCATAACTGAATCAATTAAGTTGTCAGATGCTCATACATCGAAACCGACGGGAGAGTCCATTATTATTATTATTATTATTATTGTTATATATGTAGGAATTGTTCATAGTTATAATTGTTCCGAGCGCTTTCGATTACTTCTCTCGCTATTATCAAGGATGTGTTTTTGGATGCTGTAATTCTGTGTGTGGCTGCTACGTATTAATATTACAGTGTGGAGTTCGAGCGGTTTGTGTTTCTTGGCGGTTGATATATCCAGCCGGTTGACCGCCCAATAGTCACTCACAGTATTTTACCATCCAAAAAACACATCCTTGATAATGGCTAGAGAAGTAGTTGAAAGCGCTCGGAACAATTATAACGATTATCTATCTATCTATCTATCTATATATATATATATATATATATATATATATATATATATATATGAGATGGGATCAAATATAGATCAAATATGGATCGGAATTCGACAGAATGATAAGATAAAGAACAAATAGGAAAGGTTTATCAATCTCACAGGCTTCACTTTTATTAAAGCTTCATCAGAGAATGAGATATGGAGAGAAAGAGGAAAGTAAAAATCGCAGTATTTCTTTCTCCTTTTTCTCCATATCTCATTCTCTGATGAAGCTTTAATAAAAGAGAAACTTGTTGATAAACGTTTCCTATTAGTTCTTTATCATATATATATATATATATATATATATATATATATATATATATATATATAGTAAAGGTAATAAATCGGTTACTATATAATCCAAAATTCGAAATTTTTGTCGGGTGAAATAAGTCTATACCCATATGAGGTAATTTTTGATTTTATTGTGTATTACTATAAATGTATTTATATTACTATTATTTTATTAAGTACAGACCGTACAAGTCGCTGGTAGTCTCCATTCTCCTATATGGATGTGAAATGTGGACACTTTTGGTAGAAACGGAGAGAAGGCTCCAAGCGTTTGAGAACAAATTCATGAAAAAACTCCTTGGCATTTTCTATTGGGAACAAAAAATCAATGAGTTTGTACGGAGAAGGGTTGAAAGTTTTGTAGGACACCAGGAACTTCACGCCACTGTCAAACGCAGGAAAATGGCGTGGTTTGGACACACTACAAAGCACGACAGCTTGTGCAAGACACAGTTGAAGGTGGACGTAGGAGTGGACGCCAACATAAAAAACTGGTTGGACAATGTCAAACAATGGACAGGTATGACTGTACCAGGATAGCTAATGGCTGCCGTTGATAGACCGTTGTGGAAAAGAGTGTGACTTCTACATTCGGATCCGTCCTACGATTACAAAAGTCAAAGGGATTATTATTATTATTATTGTTACTAGTAGTAGTAGTAGTTTTACTTCATCTTGTGGTAGTAATAAGTTTAATAAATGAAATGAAATGAAACATTTCTGAAATCTTCTGAACAGTACCACCTACTTATAATCTCCTTAACAACTTATTAACATTAACAACGGCATTCTTAGGGACAGGTCAGTCAGCTAACTTCGTTTCTGAAACTATATACATCCAAGTATATAGTTTCAGAAACGAAGATAACTGATTTTTCAAAGTGAAAACAATAGATCAAAGACCCAGTAGCAAGACAAAGGACAATCCTATATTCACTCTGCGCACCCGCTGACCACATAGTGATTTCAATATAAACCCCGGAAAAATAGGTCTTCGATGTCAGTCTTTGCTACTTTTTCGCCGAAAAGCGGGACAGGCCCACAAACAATGATACAAGTTTCCAAAACAACGTTCGCTAAATGTTCATTCATTTTGAATGTAAAAACAAACATTCTAAACCAACTTCTACAATCTTGTCATTGTTAATTTTTAACTACATTCTGGGTAGATTTTAGTCTTTGGCCGATCGCACAAATAACACTAAATCAGAAATAAATATACTTGTCTAAGCCTGTTGCTTTACCCATTTCGGGCATGGAAACTTCACAATTAAGCAAGGCATATATATATATATATATATATATATATGTGTGTGTGTGTGTGTGTGTATGTGAATAAAAAAAAAAACCTTATCTTAACCGACGTGTTTCATCCTCTGCTTTATCAAGGCAAATGCAAGGATTTTATTTTGTAACATGTATTTATATACAAGACCAAAAATGTTACTGTTTCAAAACTTTTAAGTTTAGAAACGCTCATAAATATTCATCAGTTCATC